TATTCAGAATCGAGTTTGTTTTAAGGAGAGAAGCAACTTAATAAAAAGGACGAGGTGTTTTATAGTCTTGAAAAGGGTCACACTCAGCAAAAAGACAAAACAATTCCAAAGCTCAAGTGTGTACTAAGAGCCTCAACGTGCATAAAAGAGAAACTTTCAGAGCCAGGAGGACAAATGGAGCCTCGCACAGTGACAGGCTTTACAATGCCTCTATCAGTAACTGATAAACAAAAAGACAATAAACCAGCAAGACTGGAATTTTGCCGAGGGCCCTGTGGACCCCTGACCTAAGTGAAGTTTACAGAGTGACCCACCGACAACACACAGCGCACTTTCTTTTGTAAGCACCCACATAACTTGCACCAAAAGTCACCCCAAGCAAGACAGTGGGGTGCAACCCAATCAGCTCCGAAGGCTAACAGTGTCCAGGACCCACCCTGTGACCACGGCTGAATCCGCTAGAAATCAATAACAAAAGGTGAGAAAAAGTCTCCATAGTTGAAAAATCACAAATGATACTTTAAAAAAAAAAAAAAAAAGTGATGTAATGAAGAAATCCATTGGAAACCAGAAAACAATGTGACGCAATGGCTACTTGCTGTATGGAATCAGAGGACGCACCTGAAGCCCCACTGAGCAGGAAACTTTGATCTGTGGATCAGAAAAGAAGATGTAAATCAGTAACAAGCGGCTGTTTGGACAAAGAGAAAAAATAAAAGCAAATTATATCTGTTTGCTCTTTTTTTTTTTTTTTTTTAACTTTTTAACGGCACCAGGGATCAAACTCACAACCACCTGCTTGAAAGGCAGGTGCTTATGCCGCTGAGCTAAATCCCCAGCCCCTGCAAATTAGATCTGAAGGTGTAGAAGCTAGGCAATGAGGGAGATAGAAGAAGGTGATTAAAAAGAAAAGGGACAGAAGAGAAGTCCCTGCCAGCACCCGCTCCATCCAGCCATCCCGAGAATACGACGGCGGCTTCCGCCCATCAGGCACTGCTGTGGCCATCAGAACCGGGAAGCCTGCAACGCCAACTGCCTGCCTCCATCCAGCTTGTCTGACAGCCGGGACAAAGGCAGCAAACACCCAGCGGCGGTGTGCAGAAGGGGAATGAGCTTCAACAGAAGCAGCAGAAGGCGGCGGGATCAGGGGTGGGGAGGCTGCCTTTAAAGATGCATTGACTCAAGCTTCCTAAAATTCGGGGGTCACCGGCAAACAGAGCAGAGGAAAGCACTGCAGAGCCCAGCGGGCGCTACTGCGCTGCTCCCTAAGGTGAAGGTGGCCTTCACTACTCAAAGGCCGGGGCGGGCTGGGAGCGCACACCTGTGACCCTGCACCTGGGAGGCTGAGGCAGGAGGGTCACAAGTTCACACGCAGCCCAGGTAAGGTAGGACTTAGGGAGGCATCGTCTAAAGCTAAACGAAGAGCTGGGGATGTGGCTCGGCACAAAGCCCTGAGTTCAACCCCTGAGTACCACAAAAGGGAAAAAATGTGGGGGTTTTTCTGTGCTTCTGGACCACACTGGAGAAGCTCGCATGACTTCGGCAGGAAGGTACGAGAACGTTTTCAACAGAGAGGTGTTGGGGCTGATCTCTCTCTCCTCGGACAGGTTGCCCCCCACTCTTCCAAGCAGACTAATTTATCACTTCCCTTCTGTCAGGCTTTGTTCTATGATTTAAGTTCCACTAGTGTGATTTTCCAAAGAAAGAACAAACTTTCCTCTTAGGTGAATTCTCCCGCCTTCAGGCGAGGGGAGAGCACGGGGCAGCTTTTCCAAAAGCAAAATTCCCTCTCTGCACCACATTTGGCAGAGAAAGAGGGTCAGGAAGATCGCTTTGGCTGAAGCTGGCTGACCACGTGGAGATGAACGCCTTAAACTCCATTACGCTGGACCTTCCCGGGTGTGGACACCCTCCTGTGAGCTCAGGAAACGTTTGCATAAGCAATGCCAGGCAGGGAGACAGCGACTGGCCTCCCAGAGGTGATTTGGTGGCCTCCAACAGAGAGTGACAATTCCAGCAGTGGCTTCCAAGGGCAACCACCCCAGTACAACCACGAGCATGTTTTTGTGGGAGGCAAAGCACTCTTCTAAACTCAAATTGATTCTCAAGATTTAAGTACGAGAAGAATTCGCATGCAATTCCAGATTTCCGGTTTGTTTTTTTTCCCCCAAATACTAGGAGTTTGGAAAACATGAATAAAACATAGGGAGCTGCACGGCCACTGTCCCCTTGTGTGTGTGACCTGTGGGACACTGGTCCCAGGAACACCAGGTGGACATCTGAATTCATAGGACGTCACCGCCATGTTTGGGTTCCGCCTGGCAGAGATGGAGGGATTTGGTCACTGAGGTCCCTGACAGGCTGACTTTGAGTTCACCAAGAGGGACTGATTAGTCCTGCATCCCCACATGCACTGGGGCCCCCCTCACAAGCGCTGAGCTCTGCAAACAGCCCCGTGCCCATCAAGGGATGGATGAATGGAGAAAATACACAGCGGAGGAGTATTCAGCCATGAGGCACACACAGCAAAATTGCGTCAGCTGCAGGAAAAAGGCTAAAACTATAGATCACCGTGTTAACCAAAAAAGCCAGATGCAGAAGGATATGGCATTTTCTCCCACATGTGGGAGAGAGAGACAGAGAGAGAAATCAAACTGAAAACAGAAGTGAGACTAACAGAGAAGAGGAAGGGGGTGGGGGACGGGTGTCGTGAGGGAGTAGAGAAGAGCCAAGTGTGTTCTACCCAGGTGCAAATATGCCAGCAAAAGTACCATTCCGTGCAACTAATATTCATCAGTAGCGGTTGTGTAACTGAGGTTGTAAAAGGGGGAGAGGAATTATCCTGGTGGGCCAGACCTAATCAGGCAGCACCTTCCAGGAGGCGGAGGCTGCAGCATGCTGCTCCACTGTCCCGGAAGAGGCAGAGCAGGAAATCAGAGAGAGCGTCAGCTGCTTCATCGGGGGTCATCTGCCACCCAGTAGAAACAAACAGACCCGTGTTTATTCAGGCAGGTAGCAGTGCACGGCAGCTTTGCCAGGCTGTTCCAATAGCTGGAGTGAAGTAGAGTCAGACAGACCAGACACGGGAAGAGAGATTCTTCCAAAGCACAGCCGTGTCGCAGATCTGCTCAGAACTCCCGGAGGCAGGGAGCCCAAAAGGGTGTCGATGTTCTCCATCCAGCTCAGATGGAATCTGACAGGGGCTGCGGTCAGACTCTGGGGCCATTTGGGAGGCAGGCAGCACGGTGCTGTGGGGAGGCGAGGCGGGAGCGGCCCAGGCTGCGTGTCAGCACTGTGGAAAGGTAGGGGGTGTGTGTGCCGCAGTGGGGGACATTTACATATGTGACTCAACCTGGGAGCCAGCCTGTGTCCAAACGAACATGAAGCTATTACTCACACTTGGCTTCTAGGATGTTCCCAGGGCGAGTGAACTTCCTGTTTTTATCGCTGGCTTGCTCACCTTGGGAACCGCATCATCTCTCTCAGTGTGGAACGGCGGGCACATAGAAAAGACTCAGGGAAGTCCCAGGGAGCCAGCAGACACCCCTGACAAAGGACATCGGACAACCTGACTCCTGGCCTCTTGGATGAGAGAACGGATTGGTTTATTCATCGACTGACTCAGCGCTGACCATGACTTCAGCTATGCATAGGTGGTAAATAAGAACAGCAGAGTGTACGCCAGTGGAGGAGACACCCACTGCCAAGGCTGAGCACCAGGAACACCCTAAGGGAGACCTCGTGGCTCCCAAGTTCACCCGGGACTCGTTAGCAGCAGTCAAGGCAAAGTTCCCAGAAATCAGCTCTCCCATGAACTAGCTCCAAGACACTGGGTTCGATGAGAACCATCCTGTCTGCTCTCTTCGCTATAAAATTGATTCCACTGCCGTTGTAAGAGGAAATCAGAGTTGAATACAGTTGGTTCAAATTACCTCCTGGGATTAGGCACAAAATTGGCGTTTGCAATTTTTCTCATCATGTTGCTGCAGACATCCCTGGTTTCTTTAATAGTATGAAACTGTCATTTTTTAAAATGTTAAACGAGGGGGGAGATAGTAAAATGGTTTACCACAATTCCATCCCCCTGGCATGATCTTATTCTTACATCACCCCTCCAAATATTTTATTACTTAAATCACTTCCTCCTTAGAAAAATGCCTGACGCATGAGAGGTACTTCACCTCTATTGACTCAATAAAATGCTCACTGACCATCTGACTTCTCCAGTCAATGCAAACTTTATGCTTTGTGTACTAAAATTACACCCTATTCATTCCCCCTGTGCATTTTTCATAAGCTGGGTGTTTATCATTTTATAATTACAATTGTCTTGCATGTCAAGATACAATCTTGAATAAGGCTTTTCCCTTGTTATAGTGTAGTTATGTATAAAATTACTACGAACCACTCTATTTTAGATAATACTACAATGAACAGCTTTATGAGTACCATTTTGCCAAATTTTTTTTGTGAAATTTCCTAAGCCAATCATAGAATACAGCAAGTAATATTTCAAGCTATACCTTGATGTTAGCTGATAAGAGTATCTAAAAAAGCATAACCAAAATGGATTCTGTCCATAAGGAGTAATGAAATAAGCTCATAAAAATGATGAAATCACGCAGTATCTGACTTTTATATTGAAACGATGTTTTTCAGTCTTTCACATTAGTTTAAAAACAACTCCTCCAACGCAGATCGATAAAAGATATGAATATTTCGATGGATTCACCAGCAAAGAAAACAATAAATTCAGTTAGTAAATAAATAAGGATGTCAGCAGCCCTAATTCTTTCTAACATTAGCTTTAACATGCTGCTGGGAAATATTTCCAGCTATATATTTTTTAAATCAGCACTCCCCAAAGCTTATGACATGTTAGGTGGATACATATCTGCTTCATCATGCTGGTAAGGCAGAGAGAACAATCTACTTCCGGGTCACCCTCCCAGGCCTCTATGGTCACAGTCTACTTCCGGGTCACCCTCCTAGACCCCCTCTAGAGGCACTCGCTCGCAACGCCCGGGCAGCACCTAGGCACTGATGCTCCTTCTAACAGCAGCTCTGGGCATGACAGTGCCTCTGCCACCTGCTACCTGGTGCCGTAGGCAAATTAATCACCAAGTCTAGGATCAGCCCCAGTCCTCCCTCCTTCCTCAGTTCCCAATGCCGTGCTGTCCAGACTGCTACTTCTCCTTCTGATCCCAAAATTCTCTGAAAGTAGGAAGAAGGAAATCGGAGGAGGTGATTATCACTGAGTAAGAGGAGGTGACTGGGCTGAGGGTGGGGCTCGGTGGTGGGAGAGGACTTGCCCAGCATTTGGGAGGCCCTGGGTGTGGTCACCAGCTCGGGGTGTGCGCAGGCAGACTGCTGGGATTCGCGTGGTTTGGCTTTTCAGAGAAAGCCTGCAGATTTGGCTATTAACACAGAAAAATCAAACTTAGACCCTGACCTTAAAAATCACTGATTTAGGGATTATTACACTTTCCAGTCACATATATTTGATTCCTCTTTTGATCGTCAGAGGAACCTAGTGAGATGAGATCTTCATCTTACTTCTTCACATACAAAAACTGATGAGGTATCAAGAAGGTTCCAGAAGCCGCAGAGCTGTAAGCAAACCAAGCAAGATTCTGGATAGTAGTAACATCTGATTCCAAAGTTTACCCACGCAGCTTCATTGCCTCCTGCAGTTCTGGGAACCGCAGAGGGACTCTGTGACCAAGAGGAACAAAGTTCTCCTCTCTGTCCGCCTCGTAATTTTTCTGGGCAGGCTGAGAAGCCCAGGCCATGGCTCTGGTGGCAGCTTGCAGGTCCAGCCCATGTTGAGGTTTGCAAACTTCAGAGCACACCACAGGCTGGGCTGAGTACAGGGAGGAGTTCGTTTTTCTCGCCCAGCCTTGGGGAAGCTGATTATTCTAGATCCCTTTAACTGGGTGGAAACCTGACATTTGATATGTGGGCCAGCGAGGGGGTTGGGCTCCCACAGTCCAGGCTGGGCTGCTGAGGGCCTGCCTGCCTGCCTGACTGCCAACAAAGAGCCCCTGCCTTGGCTGTATTCCCTCAGGAAGGATTTCCAAACTGCAGTTTTAGAAACAGTTCCTTTGGGGAATTATGAAAGCAATAATGTTTTCGATAGAAAATTGTTGTATCAACAGAAAGACCTAAAAAACAAAATCACCAATTTCCCCATCACTCAGAGAGAGCCAGCATGAACATTTTAATGCTTTTCTCTCTTTTTCTTATGCATGTAGACTATTTCGTTAGCACACTGGACTCAACTATACACTGTAGATATTTTTGTAATATGTGTGCACTTTTTTAAAGCACATACTGTATTGCCATGATTTCCACATTTTATTTTTTTTAATTGGAAAACATGATTTTTTAATAGCGGTTTCTGCCACGAGTTGAAACAATCATTTCTGTCTTGGTGGGCTTGGCTTTGCATCTGTATCAAGCAGCATTTCCTTCCGTGGAGTGCTTGGATGGATGCAGGATTGTGGCTCTACCCCACCAACTTCCTCCAAGAGTTTTCTATCTCAGAAAAGTTGGGAGGCAAATTATCAGAGTTACCACAACTCCAGTGAAGCCTGCTGTCCTACTCTAGAAGCTAAAAAGTCCTTTCACTGAGCTCAGTTAACAGCAAACCAGCACAGTGGGAGGCAGCTCAGCCGCAGAGCGCCTGCCTGCAAGTGCCAGGCCCTGAGTTCAATTCCTGGTACCAAAAAAAAGGAAACCAGCAGAACCGCTTCCTCTGACCCCTTCGCCCCCTCCCCAGCCTCCTGTGCCGTTAGTTCCTCTTTCCCTTAACTTCAGCTTCTTTATCTCCAGTTACTCCTCAATGTGTTGTAATCTGTTCTCCACTCCCACTTTTCTGCTGAAACAGCCGTTGCAAAATGCCAAATCCACCGTCCTGGGCTCTGAATTAATGTCCCATTTCACAAGTGATGCACAAACACATTTTCTTACGTTCCACTATTCACAAACGATGGAAAGACCCAGGAAAGGCTGGAGAGCGAGCTCATGGGGAAGCCTTGCCTGCATGGGGCTCTGGATTCAATTCCCAGCACCACCAAAAGGAAGAAAGAAACAAATTCCTTTTTCACCGCTTTATTCCTGGTGTTGGAGGGGTTCCCGCCTGGAGAAGGATGTGTGGGGGAGTTTGGGAAGATCACCATTTGGTTTGCTTAGAAGCTTTCGGTGTCTGCAGCCTAACCGGTGTCTCCAGCCTAACTGTGCTCAGGCCCCCCACACAGAGAGACCGTGGTCTTGCTGCCAGGCTCCCCGGGCCCTGTGAGTGTCCAGCCTCCCACAGCTCATCTGGGGGTCTTTACCTGGGTGGTTCCCCCAAATGTTCCAAGGCCTGGCCTTGGAACCCCTGCACCTGCCCTCTCTCCCCTCTTCCCATGAGCACTGCAGTGATTTCTAGCTCTTCCCTCTGACAAAAGAATGCACCAAAGAGCATCCCTGATCCGGTCCATGCTCCCCGGGGGCTTTCTTTTCTCTAGGACTGAGGCAGAGAATTGCACTGCAGCACCTGGGACTGTGTGCTTACCCCCTCAACATTCATAGCCAGTGGTCGTGCTGGTCCCTGAGACCGGGTCATTCCTGCCCACCTGTGGGCTCCGGGGCTCCTGACTCTTACCCCAGTCACCCACCTATCACCTTTCCTCTCTCTGAGCTCCTCTGTGCCAAATCCCCATGACCACCGTCACCCACTCTCTGTCCTATCTTGTGTCCACCTCCCTCCGCAGCTCACTCCCACAGACATTGGTCCATCTGAGTCTAACCACTGCCCAGTGCCATGGCTGGTTTAGTTGCTCAAATCAAAGTGGACATGCTCTGTTCGGAGATATCTTCCCTTCGGCTCAGGAAATCTCTCCTCAAGTGACTAATGAATTTGAATTTGTTCTAGACAGCAAATTTCTGGCTTAAGAAATGACTACTGAGGCTCCGGACTCTCTACAGTTTATAGAGAACAGACACGTTTCACTCAATTAAAACCCCTGGAGAAATGCATAGCTCAGCCAGCAGAAATGCTGCTGACATTCCGAGCCAACACACACACACACACACACACACACACACACACACACACACACATACACACACACTCTCCCCCCTAATTGTTATCCTAGATGTAAATATTTAATTATGATATGTAGTCAGTGTTTACTTCATGGTAATTAGGCGTACATAAAAGTTGCTCAAATGAACCACTGAGGATTCTTATTGGAACACTACTGAAAAGGTTTTTATTTGTTTGTTTTGTACAAAGGGTGATTGCTTGAATTTTTTTAAAATTCATGGTAAAAGATGCAATCTCGGTTACTTTTATGATTACTGGAACAAAATATCTGACACCCATATGTTAAAGGAAAAGACGTTTATTTCAGCTCACAGTCTGTAGAGGTTTCATTCCATAGTCATCTGGCTCCCAAGCAGGGCAGCATTGTAGAAGCGGTGCCCGGCACGGCAGGCAGGAGGCAGTGACCAGCCTGCCTTTATCTTTTATCCCAGCCAGGCTAGCACACAGAACTGTGCTAATTCCAACCCACGAACTAATTAGCACCACACATCCTTCGTCCCAGTATCACCTGCCCTAGATCTAACCACTCCAAAAAGCCCCAGCTAGGAGTGCGTGAGGCTTTGGAGGGCATCTAAACACAAGCCGTAACAGACACGTTTCCCAGAATGATAGGACAAGTTGTTGGAAACCAAGGGAAGTATTTTGAAAGGAACAAATAGCAATGAATCTTTTACTGGGATAAATGTTTTTAATTTAAACATTCACTATATTTTTTTAAACTTTTATTTAAAGAAAGACTAAACAAAACAGAAAATAGGTAGAAATAGTACATACTTTCAGAGAAAAAAATAAACAGTGAGAAATCACTAGTTGATGTTGTCATTTTACAAATAGTTGTTCAAGGTACAAAAATGGAACATGTAAAGTGGGAATTCTAACAGAGAGACTGCAAAAAATTCTGTTCAACTGTCCAAGAAAAACTTATTAACATTGTTGTCAATCCTATACACTTAAACATACATGCAGTTATCCATATCTTCATTTATGTTGAGATTAAACAAACTAAAGCTTCTGAACAAAGAATAATAGTATTGCTGGATTTCACATCATGACACTGCGTGATCAGCACTGGGTACTGTAGTGTCTTCTTTTTAAAATTGAATTTAAAGAAAGACTAAACAAAACAGAAAATGGGCAGAAATAATACATAATTTCAAAGAAAAAAATAAGAAATCACTAGTTGAAGATTGCAGATTGTCTTCTTACATATAGTTATTCAAGATATTAAAGTGGAGCATATAAAGTGGGGATTCAAACAGTGAGACTGCAACCAGTTCTGTTCACCTATCTAACAAAAACTTAGAAATATGGTTATCAATCCTGTACACTTAAACATGCATGCAGTTACCCATATCTTCAATTATGTTGACACTGAATAAACCCAAGTGGGCTAATATCACTCTGAACAAAGAATAATACTACTGCTGGGTTTCACATTATGACACTCCAGGATCAGCACTGGGTATTTTAGTGTCTCTTTTTCTTCAAAGTATCTGTTCATAAGACAAAAAAAGGGGGGGGGGGGCTGGGGATTTAGCTCAGCGGCATAAGCGCCTGCCTTGCAAGCAGGCAGTCGTGAGTTCGATTCCCGGTACCGGTAAAAAGGAAAAAGACAAAAAAAAAAAAAAATCTGTTCATTTCATCAATTATCATAAGATCAGTTCTCATAAACTGTTTATAGATTCTACACATGCATGAGTCTTAACATGTATTTCTTTTTTTTTTTTAATTTTGAAAGTAGTAAAAATACAACAGTACAAGACAGAACAAAGCCAATCGAGACGTGGGTACAGGATTTCACTGTAGGATACTGGGATGGTAGTAGTAAGTACTATGGTATATCTCTTTGACTTAACAATGGTTGTCCAGTCAATTAGGTATTGTAAAATCAAGCCAAAAATAGAACATTATAAAACCAATTGAGAAAACTGAATAGAGCAAAAGAAACATAACAAAACAGTGAAAACAACCTTTGCCTTCAAACAGGAGACAGAAGGAAATCCCCCATATTTGCTATACTGCATATGGTCAGCCTCCCAAGAGATGCTGAGACATCCATCCCCAGTAGCTAAGCGGGGAGGAGCAGGTGGGAGAAGGGTGCTTGATTATCAGCCCGCGTGTCAGTAGGCTCACAGGTAATGGTCCTCCTCCAGCCCCAAGCTGCAGGTGCTTAACAAGAGGGCGGTGAATAAGCTGCCTGAGTCCCTCCATGGCCGGGTCTCTGGAGCTCTCACATTCACTATATTTTTTGAATGCCCTTCCTTGATCATATGCTGATGGCAATTTCTGTCAAAAATACTAAGCTGTATCTTCATTCACCATCCTCCCCAGATCTGGTCCCTGTGACTTCTGGCTCTTCCCCAAACTCAAGATGACCACGGAAGAGAAATGCATTGAACTGAAGCAGCCATGAAAATGCAGCTAAGGACATTTGCAAAAGAAGACTTCCAAGACTGCTTCAAACAGTGGCAAATATGGTGGGGTGAATGTGCCCAAAGAGAGGAGCAGTATTTTGAAGATTATGGCAATGTCTTTTACTGTGATAATTTTTTTTTTTCCAGTTTTAACATGAAGTGTACTTTGGTCTTCTGATGCTGCCTACTTGGTAATCCGGTCTTCCTTCCTTTTTAGAAATACAGTATCAAGTTTCATGTGGAAGAGCTTTTAAAACTACATTTCCCAGCCTGCTCTGCAACCAAGAGTGAACATTTGAATAGACTTGGTCCAGAGCCATGTCAGAGGTTACCCAATGGGACGTCACGGAGAGGTCCTTGGAGGTGGAAGGTGGAGGCCAGGTAGTGTTTGGGGTTACAGGACTCGGGTGATTGCTTTTTCCCTCCCCCTTTCTGAGCCCCCAAATGCATTGTGACTCAGATTAAAAGGCCACGAAGTCTGGCCTTACAACCTGCCCCACACCAATACTGGCAGTGTCCTACCTCTGGATTTTGCACTGGAAAATCCAAAAAAATTAAGAAAAAAATAGGGAAAAATTTCTTAGGCTGTTTGAATTTGGGTTTTCCCAAATTCCCAGAGAGACTATATTCTGTTAAAACTACTGTAAACAACAGAAGAAGGAGAAGAGGAAAAGGAAGAGGAAGGAGAAGAGGAGGGGAGGCGAGGGGGAGGAGGAGAGGTGAAGAAAACACATTTTGCCCATTGATGAGTCCACAAACAGTCACGGGAAGGTCCTCATCAAGGACCTCTGTAAATATTACTGTGTCGCCTTATTCACAGCGTCTCTAGTCCGTCTCTGTGCAGATTCTCAGTACTCCCCTGATCTCTCTCTCACCATCTGCGATCTTTTGCCCCAGATACAATCTATAGATTGCGTGTTACAAGGCGATGCGGGGACCTGAACCATCTGCAAATTTAAACCAAGTTTTTATTTCCATTTTGGCTGAAAGCAAAATGTTCCTTTCGAGGTTGAGAGGCCCTCAGTTTCCCCTTTTGTCTGTATGACTCACCCTGCAGGCACCCCCATGGCTGTCCTGGATTTTTCTGCAATCTGCTTTCCTGAGCACACTCCGCTTGGCTTCTCAGCTCACTCACAGCCCTGTAAGTGATTCCCATTTCTGGGCTCCGCCGGCAGCTGTGTCTATGGAGCGTGTGAATGATTGCTTCAATCTCCCACTTGTTTTCGAGTGAATGTGAGCCTGACCTCCGGGCACCGCTGAGAATTACTCACAGTCAAACCGAGAGTTTCAACGCTAAATGTGACAGTGTGTGCTATATCTGTGTTCTCTCAAGCAGATTATTCAAATTCCAGCCAGTTGAAGTCAAGTTGTCCCAAAGCCCACGGAATCTCTGCCCCAGAGTTCCATGTCGGAGCCCAGGAGCCTCCTCGGCTAGAGCTGTAATCGATTGCTCAGTTGGATGTGTGATGGCTGCATGTTCTCAGCCCAATTCTCTCCTCCTGCCTCATATCCCCTGGAGACCCCGTGCCCCTCCTAAGAGCCACGTGTGTCTTATCTCTTCCAATGCAGTTGCTAAAACCAGAAAGCAGGCTGGAACACATTTCCCTGCAGTGCACTGTTTCTCATCATTTCTTCCTGACACTTCCAGATAACTTAGTGTACTGTCTTCTCCTATTCAGCACAGCCTGCCCCCCTCACCCCCCACCCCCGCCCCGGGTGCTTGGGGATTTCATGACATCACCCAGTGATTTATAATTAGAAGCAAAAATGCCAAATCCACAGCACTCGGGGACCACTGAAGCAATGTGAAAAGCTGCTACCAATCCCCAACGGACTACTAGATCAGGGTGTGACCAGGGAAGCACAAGAAACACAAAAATAACCTCTCTGATGGCCAAAGCCACTTGCACGGACTGATGCCACAGACCTGAGCCAGCCTCAGTCCACACACAGGAAACATCCCTGACTCCTGGCTTGCCCCCGACTAAACTGCATTTCTCAGAGCTCCTGAGCGCCTCTGAGAGGAGTTTGAATTTCCTCCACGGTGGAGGCAGGGCACAGTCACTTTTGAGGGGATTTGGCTTAGTTTTGTCTTTTGGGGGGACTGAGTTCAAAGCCTCACGCTTTGCTAGGCAAAGATCACCACCAAGTCACATCCTAGGCTCACTTCTAAATATTTTGAGACAGGATCTAAGTTGCCAAGGCTGGCCTCAAGTTTGCAGTCCTACAGCATCAGCCTTCGGAGTAGCTGGGATTACAGGCACCACCATGTTCAGCTCTCAGTGACTTCAGATGGTCTGAGATTTAGGTCAGCAGCATAAATGCCTGCCTGGCAAGTGTGATGTTGTGAGTTTGATCCCTGACACACACACAGAGAAAAAAAAAAAAACAAGCTTTGGGCCTCAGCTGCTGTTTTGAGGCGCCATAGGAACCTGGATTCACTGCAAGCAGCTCACTATCGCCTTCTTCCTCTCCAAATGTCCTGAGAATCGGGCAACTAGCCCAGTTTTTGCCAGGACTTCCCCAGACCCTATACTTTTTGTTTTAATTTTAATAAACTAAAATAGCCCTGCCCAGTAATCTCCTTGGCTCCTCACCCCCACCTCCGGTTGCTCCCTGCCTATTACAATCGAATAACTTCGATAAAATGAGCAAAAATTTTTTGCAACCCTGGGCGCTGCACCCCGGAAGCGCGTCCACGCTCTGCGTCCCCGGCAGGGGGCAGCTGTGCCTAAGACTCCCGCCGGGGCTGTTTACACAATCACTTGCGAAATTTTTTTTTTCTTTTTTTCTTCAAGTGATACTTTTTTTTTTTTTTTTTTTTTTTTTTTTTTTTTTTTTTTTTGTGGGCGGCAAGCCGAGGTGCCAGCTAACCCAGGTCACGTTCAGGACAAGCCGCGCGCCGGGGACCCGGACTCCTACCCGGGCGCAGCGCGGCCCCGGCGGCGCGGACACCATTTTGCTCGGCGCCTCCGGGCGGGGAGCTGGCGCCGCGCTGGCACCGGCCGGCAGCTCGGGCACCGCGGGGCGCAGCGCGCGGGGCGGCCACTCCGGGCGCGCCCGGGGAACGGGGCGCGCGGCGGGCGCAGCGCACAGCCCCGCGGCTCCCATGCTGCAGCAGCGGCGCCACAAAATGGTGGTGGCCTGGAAGGGGAGGTACTGGGGCGGCCCGGGTGCAAGGGCTCGGGCTCGGGCTGCGGACCCCCGGGCCGGCTCCCGGCTCCGCGTCGGCACCGCCGCCCCGTCCTCCCGCTGGGTCGCGAGGTCCCGGCTGGGCCCGCGCGCTCTGCGCCTCCGCGGCTCGTTCCTGCCCCTGCAGTTTGCGGTTCGTGTTTCTGCACCCAGGGGACGCGGTGCGGAGGCAAGTTGCAAGGCTGGGTCACTTTACTTGTGTCTTTTAATGCACTGCGCATATTTGTTAAATTAAAAACCTCCTTGCTCATTGAACGTTGCCTGCTCTTTTTATGACTCCCGGGAAACTTACCCAAGCGTCTTCCACGTGGAAAGTGCCTGAGGTCACCGAGGCACCCGTGGGGAGGCAGGGCCTGGCGGCTGACATACGGCTGCCTGTGGCCGCGGGCAGCTTGCCTGCACTTTGCTTTCTCTGATTTCTTTGATTTCGTTAATGACCACGCTTTCTTCAGGAGAATCAAGGTGACCATAAATGCACCATGAGCGAAGGTGCGCAGCCTGTTTTTGGTGACAGCGCTGTAACTCTCAGGCTGGATCCTGCGGCCAGAACTCTGCTCCTGTACCCAAATGAGAGGAGGGCAGGTTTGGGTTCCCTCACCTCTGATGGCCTCTGCCACGCAGAGCCTCCCAGCTTCTTTGAAGCCCAGGCCCGGTGCGGAGGGCTGCAGAGAAACTCCCGGCTGAGGCCCCCTGGGCACACCCCAGGGCGCATGCGTGCCCAGGGTGCAGCCCTGGCCTGAGAGCCCCTGAGGCTCCCCTTCGCCCCTTCGCAGCCTCCTGGCAGTTTTCCATTCAGCGCCCCAGTTCTCCCTGCCCTGATTGCTTGCAGAGCTGACCCCTCCCTGGCAGGGCACACCTGTCCTTCAGTTACTGGGCAGCTGTCTTCCTGGCCGGGATGTAAGCGCCCTGTGGGGGACCATCCCGGGGCCTGTGTCCCAGCACGGTCCCAATGTCCAGGCAGCTCCAGATGCAGAGCTGGCCCTCACTTCCGCTTGTCTTGTGGCCGGCTGTCTGTCGGTCCTGCACGCCTTGGTTTCCTCATTGCTGTTTTTCCCTGTCTCTTTGTCACTCGCCATCGTATCTCCCTCCTAAAGCCACCAAAGGAGGACATGAAAGTGGCACAAGTGACCAGCCCGGGGACACACATCTGTCTTTTCCACATCCCACAGAAGACCTAGCCGGGGTCATCCTGCCTGGCCACAGGCCTCCAGCACCCACAGCTGCTCGCCCAGGGCTGGGGTCAGATCCAAACCGGCTGCTCTCTGATCGAAGCTCCCCACCCGAGAGGCCTGGGTTTGGATTTTAAACCTCCTTGGCCTGACCTGTGTTAAGTTCTAGATTCATTTTTTTATGTATAAGAAAAATAAAAGTCAACAAAAAAAGCGAAAAAGATGTTTCTAGTGCAGCGATGCCGTCCTAAGGAGCAGCAGATTCACTATACCCTGCGTGAGTCATTCTCCAGTGTGAGCTTACCCGAGACTCACTGGGGGATTTGAACTCCCTGAACGTCAAAGTCCAAAAAATAGCTGTAACATGAGGTGGCCAGTAAGAGCCACTGCCCAGGATTACTGGAAATTGAAGTTTTACATGAATCTCTGTGTTGCACATCCTAAAGTTTGACTGGTTGAAGCAAAATAGAGATTTATGGACTTGTTATTGACTGATGCCCAAGTGAGGGTGTCAGGCTCAGCTGGATCCAGGACCTTGAACAGTGTCCACTGGACCCTCTCTTTTTCTGCTTTCTTCTCTGTTGGCTTCAAAACTTCACATTTACATCCTGTTTTCAATCCCTTTGCCACTCATTTCGGGGAAAGTCTCGGATTCAGGTCTCACCTGACGAATGTGCTGATCACAAACTGATCAGTTTGCCAAGCCTGGGGTCAGCGTCCATCCCCAAAGTGAAGACACCCTGTCCACACCCGAAGCTACCTGTGCTGAAAGTGGTGGAAGGCAAATCAGGAACCTTTTTGAAAGGGAAATGCATGGAATCTCCCAGTGTCCACCCCGTCACCTGGGATACAGTGAGTGCAAGATGGACACCAGCCCCAGCCGGAGTGAAGCCGGGGGTCCCCACAGGGGGCTGGTGGTGGCACAAGAGGCCCCAGGACCCTTTTAATCCGCCCTGGCCGAGCCCCACTTAGGAGTCTTGACTCAGCTGCTGTAGGGTGGGGTCTTCACAGGCTCTGCAGGGACAAAACCCACGGACCCCCAGACCCCCCAACTACAGCGGCAAACCCATAAAGACCCGAGGACCTGTTCAGAAGTTTGAAATGCACAACCTGAAAGTCTCCCCTTATTATTTCTTGCAATGATTTCTAAGCTAAAGCAGGATTTCAGGGGTGGCTAAAAAAACGCAAACTAGAGTTTCTGTGTGTAGATGTGTGTGTGTGTGTTATGCATATACGCTGTGTGCAAGCTGTGTGTGTGCCATATGTGCAGTGTGGCTGTGTGTTCAGTGTCCTGTGTGTGTGTTCTCTGTGTTGCTCAGTGTGCATGGCATGTGTGTGGCTGTCTGTTGTGTAACAGTGCACACACAGTGTGGTGTTGGGGGTAGTGTGTGCTGTGCAGTGTACGCAGCGTGTCGGGGATGTACAGGGCTGTTTCGTGTACCGCATGTTTCATGCATGAATGGCTGTGTACATGCACACACTTCGCCTGGGTGCTCAAGTCCCAACCGCAGATGACTCAGGGACTGAATGGCGCTGACTCATGACTTCTTTTGTTTGCAACTTTCTTCTTCCCCTCCTCCACTCCATCTCATCCATAAACATTGTGTAAAAAGTCAGGTGTTGCGTGTCACCAGTGCCAAGCAGGTGGACACCAGGAGCCTCCAGATGTGACAGCCCGAGAAGAGTTCGTCATGAATGCATAACCTAAACACAAAGAAACATCACAGACACAGTATTAATGGAGGCAGGGTGGAGGGGTGCAGGGGACACTTAGCTCATTCAAAAATACTGATATAAAAGACAGAAAAGGCTTGGGAATATTTCAGATGACAGTCAAGCAGCAGCAAACAAACATACTAAAATCTCAGCAGGAAAAGACAGGCTATACAGATTTTCTTTATATTGCTATATTTGTAATATTTTGGATTAAGCTTAAACTTGTTCCCAAATAAAGTCTTAAAACCTTAAGGCTTCTTACTCTGTCTTCTAAGAAGATGATCTTTTTAAATCATCAAAATATTTGAAAGACAATGTTATACTATCAAGTAAACATATACAATACGTGCAGTAAACAAAGCGTCCTCCGGTTGAAATGTGGAAATGCAGCACTGCATGACTCAGACCCATCAGGGTTAAAAATTCCAAACACACACATGCCCGTGTTTCAAAAGTCATTGTTCACAGCCATAAAATGGAGCGCGATTATTTGCACCCAGGAAAGTTCTGCAAAGGATGAGATGCATGTGTTCCAGATGGGTTCCATAAATTCCCCAGACAGGGGACCTGCCGGAAGTGTCCAGATGGTGTAGCCCCACTCTGCCTGAGGTTTTCTTGGGGCTCAACAAGTTTCTGACATACACGGAGGCGGAGGGACTGCTTGTGCCATTTACATTACACGGAAGCAGCAGATAATAAACTGAGCATACACACACACACTCTGAAAGACGGAAATGAGTCTCCCCGCTGTGCCCCACCTCGTCTATTCACTGTCGCCCCTTAAAGTAAAATCCAGGCGCCAACTGCCTGACTTCCTTGGCTTATGCATCGCCCTCCCCTCCGTGGAGACCCTCCCTGACCCCCACCCTGTCCTCTCTTTTCATTACTTGGCTTCCCCTCACTTGTCACTGTTTGATTACACACGCAGGTTATATTTGGTAATTTTAGCATCTGTGTCTGTGTGTGTATTTCCAATCATTAATCTAACTCCCTCGCCCCTGCTGCACCTCTGAACCTCCCCCCCCCCCAGGCCAGGAATTTATATATCTTTATGACCACTGCCTTGCAGCACCTTAAGCCAAACCAGCCACCAGGTAGACATTCTGTATTTCCCCGAATCAGTCCCCAAACAAAGGTGCAACACTGGATACGTAGGGGGCATTCTGTAAACGAATATTGAAAAGAAAAGCAAAGTCAGGAGGTTGCAACCACCTGAATTCAAAATGTAGAGTATGGGCTCAGGGGTTCAGCTCAGCAGCGCAAGCTCAAGGTTGTGAGTTCGATCCCTGGTACAAAGTAAAATACTAGTGTAAATCTGCAGTGACCAAGCCAGTGCGTTACTGGCATAAAGATGGACATGTAGACCAATTGAAGACCCAGAAATACGCCCATTTGGACATAGATACCGATTTCATTGAAAGGTGCCAAGCTGACCCTACAATCATGTTTAAAAGGTCACTGGGGTCTTTTCAACAAAGGATGCTGGAAAAGCTACACATCCACATATGCAAAGATAATTGACTAAATCTATAAAGTGAATATTAACCTGAAATAGATCATAGAGCTAAACAGACCTAAATGTGAAAAATAAATTCATAAAACCTTTAAGAGAAACCATGGTAGAAAAAAATCTTTGTGACTTTGGATTAGACAAGTAATTCTTAGAATGCAAGATTCTTTTCAGTCACAAAAATGGCTATATTAGTCCTCATAAAAAAACTTTTAAAAATCTTTTCACCTTCAAAAAACACTGAAGAAAATGAAAAGCTAAGCCACAGATAAGCAAAATATTTGCAATATAGATAGATAGACATTACCTGTAAGGAACTTCTTACTATGCAATAAGAAGACAATCTTTTAAAATAAACAAAATACTTGAACAGATACTTTTTTTAAAAGAAGATATTAAAATAGCACAGAGGCATTTGCACCTAATATTGCTACTTACTGGGTAAGTACAAATTAAAACGAGACTTTACCTTACATGCACTAAACTAACTAAAGCACAAAAGACAAAGGACACCAGCTGTTGGTGAGGATTTTCAAACAAGCTGAACTTTTCTACCATGCCTGTAGGAACACAAAATGGAACGGCCACGTTGGCGTCTCTTCCAAGGTGAAACACATGCTTAGCTTAAGACCCAGCAGTTCTACTGTTTAGAAAAATAAAAACGCATGTCCACAGAACAACTTTTACTTGAACATTTCTAGCAGCCAACATCTGGAAAGGGTCCAAATGTCCATCAACCAGTGAATAAATTAACAAGTTAGAGTACATCTCTATAATAGAGTATTTCTCAGGACGATCAAGGAAAGAACTAGGAATATTCGAGAACATGGCAAGGCTCAGAAGCATTCTGTCCCTTGAAAGAAGTGTGTGACTCCATGTATATGAAATCCTAGGGCAGGCAAACTTAGAATGACAGAAAGCCAACCAGCCATGGCCATGGCTGTGGTGACGGGCAAATGCCTTTATCCTCGTCAGGATTTACACCGAGACTCAGCCCTGGGGTACCGAATGGGGTGTGGATTAGACCTCAGGGAGACGCATGCATGTGGGATGGTGGAATGTGAGTCTGTCAAACAAGATCCTTCTTCCTTTTCCTCCTCCAGAAAGACCCGGCCACTCTGTAGCTGTCACCCATCTCTGCTGACAGCCTTGCCAAGCAGCTGGGTACCTTAACCTCCCCACAGTGTCACCAGAAAACCTCGCAACAATGACTAACACCGATGCCCTGGTGGAAAAGTTCACTTTCTTCATGGAGTGGGTGGAATGGGATTGGAAGAGCCTGTGCCTCTCAGTCTTGTCGAGGGCGGGGGAAGACATGACAGTTCTGCTTGGTTAATGCTCAGTGAACACTACCATGCCCTCTGTGGAGGACAGGCTGGGTCTTCATTCATACACCTGTCTGCAGAGACAGTGTTCCATTCCACCTTACATGACAAAGCTCCTTTTTAGTTTGCTTTTATAGATGAAGAGATCAAGGGGGTGGGATTGAAAGTCACATTGCTGATAAATGATTAAACTCAAGATTCCAAGCCAGACCTGCCTGACAGCTACTGGAATCTCTTCTTTCCCTTCTCTAAGTTCTGAGTCACCAGAGAGTCACTTCCTGTCTCCATTAGACCCTTCAGAGGCCCTTCTGCTCCCTGAGTCCTCCACGCCTCTATGGCACACCCTTAACTGTGTTTTGCAAAAGTAACAGGAGACACACCGGTGGCCAAGAGCCTTTTGCTGCCAGTGTTCTGTTTCCCTCTCTTGCTCTTCACCACGTTTACTCTCTTTGATGCTATGGAGTTAGTATTTTGCTGATTATCAACCCACACGAGTCCTCCTTCCTTCCTCCCACACCAACCTGTGCAGAGAAGGCAAACTCTTGCAGCTGACAAACTAGGTCTCTGCGGGGCAGGTGGGGATCCAACCCCCTACCGACCACGCACACGCAACTGGCCTGGTGTAATAATAACATTTGAGAAGCAACTTGTCTGGCCTTCATCCAACACTTGCATTTTTGTAGATGGGGAAATCCAGACAGAGCAAATGAGTTCCTCTAGCTCACGCAGCAAGCTGGGGCAGGGCCACAAAGCAAGCACTGAGTTCCCTTGGCTCCCTGTCAAGTAAGGGATAGCTTTCTCCATCACACCGCGCTTCTCTCCCCGGCCTGAAGAAGCAGGAGGCACAAAGTGGACCCTAATCCCCTTTCTAAATCTTCATTTTTATTAATTTAATGTCACATCGTGAGGCTGGCATAATGGGCCAAGGGCATTCAGCCTAGGCCTGCTGTTGGCCTTCTGGTGTCACTGCCAGAAAATCACACATAATAAGCAAGATACAGTAAGACAGCAACTGTGTGATTCTGTCCTGGTCACAGGCCACGTTTGTCTAGCTCGATCCTAAGATGGTATGCTTCACAGATCCTGTAGGTCTCCGTTCAGTGCAGTGTCATCACACACACAATGTCATTATGTGTGTGTGCCTCTGTGTGTGTATTCCAGCTCTTATTTTGTTCAACTGAAGTCACTCCCTAATTTTTGGTGGCCCTGGTTTTGGTATCTTTTCATTTTTATCCCTCAAGCTACCAGGAGCCTGGTGGAGCAGGTGTGGCCTGGCTCTCTTCTGGCTGCCGTGTGTGGTGCTGGGCCCTGCACCTGTCTGGTGTCCTCAGTCCTGGATACTGGTCCCCCCGTCCCCGCTCCCTGGGGCAAACAGATCTCTGGAGTGCTGGATAAACAAGGTGATCTTCGGCCGCACAAGCTCAGGCAGGACATGACTGTTATGCAACTGGCTTACAAAATTGTCCTTTTGCCGCTTTAGATAGCTCTGCCCATCCGAGTCGGCGTGCCGCTCTGTGGATGACTCGGCATGAGACATCTCTACAAGAAAAACAAGCCAGAGGCTCGTGCCTCCGATAGCGAAATCACCACTTACTCTGTGGGCAGCCACGGTGAGGGAGCATCTGGTCTCACCTGAGCTGCTGGACTCTGGGACAATGCCAGGTGCCCGCTCATGCTGCCCAGGCTCCTTCGGGGCAGATAGTTGAGAGTGCATGTTTGTCACAAACTCAAAACATGGGTGAGGGGCCATCAGGAGGGGAGGAAAGAACTATTAGCTAACTGGTGATTCAGGATGAGTTTGGACTTCTGTTACATGTAATGATTATTAAAGAACTTTTTTAGCCATCACAGATATATCAACATTTGAAACACTGGTTGATCCCAAATTATGCCATAGTTGGCTACCAGATGGCAGTTGAAATCCCCGAAACAGATTGTCTGCAATCAAAGCACATACATCCCTTAACATGCAAGTCCAAATTCACCTCCAGATGGATGAGCCTAAGAACTGATTCTTGGACTCACGGATATTCTCTCTTGAAGAGTCTCACTGCTAACCAAAGAAGCATTTACCTACACATCCAGAGTACGCATCAAATGCGATGGATGTAACACTAACATCGCTTCACTTCCGCATCGCAGCAGCATAACTA